TTCAGACAAGAAATAAAAATGTTCCATGAGAAAGTGATATATGAAGGAGGAAGTACTGAAATGCATGTTTAGGGTATACAGTATAAATCAATAAAACCCATATTGTTTAAAATCTGTATAAGATCAGCTAACTTGATCTTTTAAAGTTGTTTCCCGTTTATGCCCACCATGTGTGGTGCTTCCCTGTGGTTTGTTATTTTACTTCAATGGCAGAGGGAGGAAACCAACAAAGCTCAGTAACCATACTGCATAGCACAATGTAACCATGGAAGCATTTGTCCACTTGTCAGAGCCTCTCCAGAACGATTCAGCCATTCATTTTCATTGAATCAATATTGAAGCTTTTAAGATTTATTACTTGAGGGTGGAGGAAAACTAATAAAACAAATTCCTTGTTGCTTCCCATTAAATACGTCTTGTCACAGTAGGCATATTAATACCTTGTAAACACTCTACTGGTGTTGTGTGGGCTATGTTACTGTCTCTCCTTATGGACGGATTACTCGTAATGTATTTGCATTAACATGCCTGATACTCATTGAAAGAACTTAAAGGTTTCTGACACATTCTGCTGTCCCGTATAGAAGCTGAATCGAATAGAAAGACAAAAGTTGTAAGAAAACAGGGGTGGAGGGAATCTGTTTTAAAATTCATGAAAATGCTCCCGTGAAAGAGCTTCTACGTCCACTAGATCACTCTCTTATTTATGTCATAAACTAGACATTTGTAAACATACTTTAAATGCTTAAAAAAGTTGAATGGGATGATTTATTTTACAAGTAGCTTCATATTTGTTAAAATATGCTATAGTTATCTAAAAATGACAAAGATAAAAAAAAACCCAGCATGTTTTGTATGAAAAACAACCATTTCTTAAGCGCTATACTGATAAATATTCTAGATTACAGATGGCTATAGTACATGATATATTTTTCATTTTTTTAAAATCAACTTTGTACTGAAAATTTGAAAGAAAGCATAGCAAGATGTTTAAAATTACAGTACCATTACTATTACTAATATCAGGAGCAGAGAGTATTAATTCAACAGTTTAATTTACACTTGCATGCCATTATAGGTGAAAACTGAAGGCACCTTAAACACACAGTTCAAATATTTATCAATATAGCAGGCTGTGAATGCCATACCTGCTCATATATTAAAGCTTTTCAAGATTCTGAATCAGATCTTTTACCATGAGATAGTCTCCCTGCTCCTGCTCCCACTCCCTTCTACCATTCCCTCTCCCTTTTGTAAAAGCTGTTCAGCCTACCCCCCCAAATCCAGCCGTGAGGAGCTTAAAACAAAGGATTAAAGCAATGCTAGGATATTCCAGACAACTCCCTCGCTCGCCTATAGGCCTCTCTTCACGTGGGAAGAACAGTAGAAGGGTGGAAGAAGAGGCCGCACAGTTGGCGGGATTGCACGGGTGTATCGGGGCCTGCGTAAGGGCACTTTCCCACCCAGTGGAATGACATCAAAGGACTGTTTGCCAGTGAAAGCTTTTCTCAGTTGTAGCTGTAGGTAGCGATGTACCAATACAGAAAGCATCCGCAGTAGAAACTTGTGTGCCAGTGGGCTTGTAACCGAGGAAAAGTCTGTATCAATGAAGATGCAACCATACCTACATAGCTGTGCCACCAGTAAGGGCAAATTATCAGTACCAAGGAGGCCAAAGAAAGCTGCTCCCACAGCTAAAATCCTGATGCTTAAAAAATACCATATAACATTCAACTCCTTCCTGTGAGGGGAAAACTATCAAAATCCTTAAGCTTTTTAATTCCAAAATCAAGAAGAGTTTGCTAGCATGACAAAAAGCCAGTATTCTACAATCAAGAAAAAAATTTGAATAAGCATGCAATAGCACAATAAGCATGCAATAGTATAGTAAAAATTAAATCAGAAACAAAATAAAAAATAAATCAGTATACAGGTTACAGAAAAGGGAACTAGAGAGCATACATTTTAAATTACACTGTATAAATTATAGAAGATTAAAGACATAAGGGAGAACCACAGGGTTGGCAAGACAAGTTTAATAACTGTATTTCAAATGTCCATAACAATCAATTCCAAAGATACAAAAGGAAGTTTAGATTATAAATGCAGCCTGACAAGCAAACCTAGTCAAAATAATGTAAAGGCTGCTGTGGGATTTCACTCATAAGGAGGTAAAAGAAATGAATGGAATAAATATGTGATCTTATACAAACAGTACAATTTGGTTTAATTCTGAAAGATTATAAATTTGAATAACTAATCTTGCTGGTATAACAGAACTGAATAGTTGGAGGACTTACTTTTTTATCACTGACAAGCAAACCTAGTCAAAATAATGTAAAGGCTGCTGTGGGATTTCACTCATAAGGAGGTAAAAGAAATGAATGGAATAAATATGTGATCTTATACAAACAGTACAATTTGGTTTAATTCTGAAAGATTATAAATTTGAATAACTAATCTTGCTGGTATAACAGAACTGAATAGTTGGAGGACTTACTTTTTTATCACATCACTGCATGGTAAAGACATAGTGCAATGCTAGTAAGCAGTGCAATGCTGTAAAATGGATTAAAAACGAGCTGGTGGATCTCAAAAAGCATTCTCCAGTAAGAGATTATGAACAAAATATAAATTTCATTATAAACAAATGAAAATACTTCTATTATGTAGTTCAACAAGGGTTACAAATAGATCTGTGGCTCCTCAACACTCTCTCCCTGTAAATACAAAAATCACAACTAGATGTTTGTGATGTCAATATTAGCAGAAAGGAAATGACAGTATTACAGTCATATGGCTCATCTGGTAATCTGGTTCCATTAAAACAAGTCATGTTAACACTGCTGAATATCTTCAAGGCTAAAATATAGGTTATACCTTACAAATGATCTTCTGGATCATTTTCATCTGAAGAAACTCTAGCAGAGAAGCAGCTCACTGTGCTGCTGTGACTGGGAAAAAAAACCAGCCACTGTGATCTTCAGATACATGGACAGTTGATTAGTGACAAGTAGTGGGGGTGGGGGGATCGTTTACCTTTGTATGTAGCACTAATGGGGTGGATATTTGAAACTGCATAAAGTTCTGGTGTCCACATTTTAAGAACAGTGCTGAAACCCACAGAGGATGCAAACAAATCAAATTCCCCAAACCCGAGAGCTAGAGAAAGCAGAGAGCAAAAGTTAACAAGCTCTGAATTTTTACTTGACTACAGTGCAAAAACTCCCTCAGAGAAAAAATGAGATGAACACTGAAAGCGTTCTTTAATTTACTCAGGGAAAACATATCAAAAAGTAACAGCTATTCCCGGCCTTAACTACAGATTCATCCAGAAAAAATTGTAAGGAATCTATGTCAATTTTAAAAAAAACGAACTTCATTTATCACACTACAGACTCTTATTCATCAGTACAGGTATATGAATAGGAATTCAGAATCTTATAGCAAAATCCATCTGAATAATTTTATAAATAAATTTTCAAGAGTCTATACTCCATTTTTGGATACTGTCCTTACCGTAACTGAATGGTTTCACTGGGAGATTTTT